CTGTCTCTCACCTGGTAATACCCTGCACTTCCTTGGGACTCTTCAAGCAAGAAGGTCATCACCAGATGCAGCCTTTGACCTAAGACTTCCAGAACCCGGAGCCCAGATCATCACCTTTTCATTAAAAATCACCCAGKCTGTGCTATTCAATCATTAGCAACAGAAAACCAATGCACACAGCAGCGCTTCTGCTGGGCCCTTCAATCAGCAGAACTGAGGGTTCAAGTTCAGGGACAGGAAGGCCTTTTAATGACCCAAACTGGGAAGTCTGGTGGGTGGAGACCATGCCAGCTACCGGCCCAGGCGCCTGCTATGACTGCTCAGCGTGGCCCAGCTTAAAAGAGGACCCTGCCACCAGGACAGCCAGGACTCTGAGCATGTGGAGCCCAGCACATTGGCCTCTRGGCTTTGGAAAACTTATTGCCCCTACCATTGGCCTTCTGCTGGGTGGGGCAGATTATATAGAGCTCAAGCTGCATGTGGGGTGCACTGTGGGCTGAATATTGGCACCACTTCCCCCAAACACCCAAACCTGAAAAGCTAGTCAGCTGTTGTTTATTATGTCAATGTTATCGAGATGGGACTTGAATAGAATTAAATCACCCTTTTAAAGTATATGCTGCCATGAGTTTGACAGATGTATCTGGTCAGATTACCATCTCCATGATCCAGATATAGAACATTTCCAGTCCAAAAAAGTTCCCTCGGGCCATATGCCCCTCATCTCCTCCTGTTACCTACCCTTGGTCTCTGGCAACTTCTGATCTGTTTTAATTTGGCTTTTCCAGAGTGCTCAGTCAATAGAATTGCTCAGGTTGTGGACTTTCAGATGTGTGTGTGTGTGTGTKTKKGGGGGGGGGTGTACTGGGRATTGAACCCAAGGGCACTTTACCACCAAATCATATTCCCAACCCTTTTGTTTTGAGACAGGGTCTCACTAAGTTGCTGCAGCTGGCCTCGAACTTGTAATCCTCTTGCCTCAACCCCAGTAGGTGGTATTCCGGGTATACACCACCACACTGGGCAGCCAGATACTTTTGAGATTCATCCATGTTGCTGCAAGTATCAACAGGTTCTTCCTTTTAGTGCTGAGGAGAATTTCACTGTGAGGATAAATCCCACTTTGACAGACAGGTAGGTATTTGCCAGTAGGGGGCAATAAGGAGTCAAGCTGCTATACATTTTCATATACAGGTTATTCAGTGGAAACATCTGTTTTCACTTCTCTAAACACCCGGGAGTGATGCTGCTGGGTTGCTAACGTACACTTAGAAAAATGGCAAGCTCCTTTCTGAAGTGGAGATAGTCTATCTTTGTTTTTGTCTTGTTTTACAGTTTTTTCTCCTTTTTGCTTTCCAGGGGTGCTGGGGATGGAATCCAGGGCCTCATGCGTGCTAAGCATGTGCTCTACCATGGAGCYGCAGCCCCAGCCTCCCTCCTTGTTTTTATCTCTGTTCATGGATCTGTTTTCTTTTTTTGAACAGATGCAGCCCTTGACCTAGGACTTCCAGAACCCTGAGCAGCCCCAGGACATTTGTAAAAAGACCACGGACTCGCTAATTCCGTGAGAAACTCAAACTCTAGAACATTCATAGACAGCTTTACTGCTTCAGCACTTTCAGTGTCATCCATGACTCCAAGGACTGAGACAGGGTGGTCCTTTTGAGTGATCAACTGTCCCAGTTTTCCTGAGACTCTTGGTTTTGACATTAGAAGTCCCACATCCCAACCCCTCAGTTCTGGGACCAAACTGGGGAAGGCAGTTACCCTCTGGGTGTCAGGCGCCGTGCTGGACACATACATCACTTCGTGTATGATCCTGTCTCCAGGGTAGGTTTGCTGGTGCCCTCCTGGCACGTGAGGAAACCGTGTTGGAGAGCTTAAATTGCAAGCTTAGGGTAGGCGAAGCCAAAATTTGGCACCAGGTCTCCCAAACCCCAAAGCACAGTGTCTTCCCTGAATGGGAGACCTTGCTTTCTAAGTGCCCAGTTCCAGGATCCCGGGCAGTGGCTGGGCTTGAAGACATTGTTGGTCTGGGTGGGGCTTTGCTGCCCCCTGGTGGTGGGTGGGATGGCACAATTGGGTCTGAGACCTGTGGGGCATTCAGAGGTGAGGGAGAGGAATCTTTCATCCCAAAAAGCAGAATCTCAAATCTGCTTTCTGTTGTAGGAGGGTGCCAGGTGAACACTCTCCACCAGGGTCTTTTTCTATCCATATGTGAGCCCCTTAATCACTCAGGCCACCAGAGACCCAGATTTGACTTTGTGAGAGCCTGGGCCTCTTCCCTCTCATCCTTATCTGTATAACCAGGACCATAAGAACGTCAGTGACATGGATGGACTTGGACATCAAGGTCATTACCAGCTCTCATACCACCTGCTCTCTACCACCTTCGTGCATTCGTTCATCAATTCACTGAACTTCCATCTGTTCACTGTCCATCACACCCCATCTCTGTGCCTGACCCTGAGCTGGGGGTGCTGTAGCAACAGCTGCCAACAGGTCAGATGCTGGCCCAGTGTTCCTAGCTCTGTAACTCTGTGCTGAAATAATGTCTCGTGTTGTCATTTACTGAATAACCACTTATTTATTGAGTGTCCATTTGCTCTTTTTTTTTTTTTTTTTTTTTTTTAGCAGCGGGTGACTTAACCACTGAGCCACATCCACAGCCTTATTTATTTTTTATTTTGAAATGGGGTCTGGCTAAATTGCCCAGGCTGGCCTCAAACTTGTGATTCTTCTGCCTCAATCTCCCCAACTGGGCTTACAGATGATGAGCACCACTGTGCCCAACTAGCAAGTGACATTTAAGCCAAGGTAAGAACCCACTGAGTGGGAGTTCTTCAGTGAAGAGAAGACATTCCAGGCAAAGTCCTTGTTTTGTAGAGTGTTTAGAGACAAGTGAGGTACCAGGTTGCTAAAGTGTACAATAAAGGACAAATTTGTGTGTATGAACCCACCCAGGCCAAGCCCTSTCTGGATTCCAATGACAGACCAAGGCCAGTCAAGGACTTCCCTGAATTCCCCTCGCCCTTGGAAAACCACCCACTATGAGGCATCCAGGAACAGCCTTTAGAGAACTAATGAAGCATCCTTCCCTTGTCCACCTTCCATCCTCCTGGGAACCCAGTGGGAGAACTGTTCTGGGCTGAGCAGACAGCAGTAGTATTGAGGTTCCTGTCCCTAAGATGCTGTGTTCATCCAGTAAATGTTTATTTAGAGTGCCTTGCTGTGGAATGGCACTAGGATATGTAAGAAATGGCGTTGGGAATGCCCCAGACACTGGGATACAGTAAGAAATATAGGCCGACATCTACTGTACAGGGGCTCTCGAATGGCAAACAAGAAAACAGAAGCTGTAAAGACTAACAGGAACACATCTGTAATTGAACAAACTGGGTTCTGGCTTGTTACAGGAAGGAAGGCCATATTTATCTCAGGCAGAGGCTGTTGACAGGGCTTGAAATAAGATTTGGGTTTGTATAAGGTGACTTGTGAAAGTATGCTTTTGTTCTGGTTTARATGCTGTCAGGAAGTGAGGACAATTCTATGATCAGATATCTTAATAAATATTTATATTAGATTTGCTAGAGAAACAACCAAGATAATGTATTTATTATAAGGCACTGGCTCATGGGATCATGAAGACTGACAAGTCCTACATCGGAAGGCTGAGTCAGGAAGCTGGAGAGCCACCAGGGTTGATGATGTAGTTCTGGTCCCAGTTGGAAGGCCAAGACCCCAGTCTGAAGTCTGGTGAGCAAAAGCCAATACTAGATCCCAGTTCAGAAGCCATCAAGCAAGAATTCCGTCTCCCTTGTAGGAGGGATGTCTTGTTCCATTCAGGGTTTTAACTGATTGGATAARGGCCACATATTAGAAGGATATACTCAGTCTACCAATTTAAATATTAATCTCATCCAGAAACACACAGACACACCCAGAATCATGTTTGACCAAATATTCAGGGACTCCATGACCCAGTCAAGTTGACATGTAAAATTAATGATAGCCAGGCACGGTGGCACGTGCCTCTAATCCAAACGACAGGGAGGGAGGCTGAGGCAGGAAGATCACAAGTTCCAGGCCAGCCTCAACAATTTAGTAAGACCTTGTCTCAAAAATAAATAAATAAAATAAAAAGGGCTGGGGATGTCACTCAGTGGTAATGTGTCCCTAGACTCAAGTCCCAGTAACAAAAATAAATAAAAATAAAAACTGGTCACAATATGTAAAAGGAAAGGAAGGAATCAGGGCTGGCGCAGGTAAGAAGCCGCAGTTACCAGTATTAGCTGGAGTGGGAAGATGTGGGTCTCTTTCTGGTAGAGCAATATTCTTGCTTTCGCRAGTTCAGACAGGACTGCGGAGCGCTCTAGGTCTCGCTCCATCACAGTCCCAGGAAGGCCTTGTGTGATGTGGGTGTTCTGTGGAGTTAATTACGTTCAACAGAACCTCAGGCCTAGCTGTGAACGTCTGGCCGGCTCCCAGACTGGAGGGGCGGCTCTTCTCTTTCTGGTAAAACAGCCTCATGCCCTCGGCTGAGGAATTCCAAGGTGACAGAGGACATCCGGTTCCCAGTTTTCAGGAAGCTCAGTGACATGTTTGCGCCGTCTTATATAAATGGAGATTGTCGCAAATGGGAGTTCGGGGACCCACGGACCTGGCAGGACAAAGCCCAGAGGCGAGGGGAGCGCGGCGGRAGCAGGAGCTAAGAGCCCTCTGCAGCACGGTGGCCGCTGGAACTGCAGAGGTCGGCCCGGACCACTCGAGCGTGAGGGGCCACCTCGCCTCCAGAGACGTGGGCGTCCGGCCGCACAGATTTGTTCAGAAACAGGAAATGAAATCAAGCCGCTTGGATCAAAATAAGCCAGACCAGCCTCAGGCTCATGAATATTCAGCAGGCCACTTCCGTTCTGCGACTCCGCCCCGGCCCGCGGCCACGCCTCCCGCGCACGGAGACTGCGCWTGCGTCTCCGGCTCTGTCGTCATAAGGGCGCGCCGTGGTCTTCGCTCGCCCGGGAAGTGGGAGAGTTGCTATGGCGAGTCCGGCCGCCTCGTCTGTGCGACCGCCGAGGCCCAAGAAAGAACCGCAGGCCCTCGTCATCCCCAAGAATGCGGCGGAGGAGCAGAAGCTTAAGCTGGAGCGACTCATGAAGAACCCGGTGAGAGGAAGCGCGGGCTCCGCTGCGSGTCCGAGGCCCACCCCTCTCCGCTCCGGCACCTCTGGGGGTCCGCGCACCCCCATCCCCCGCCGCCAGACTCGAGGTCTCGGCACCCTAATGCCAGAGCAGTCCTTAGGAACTGTCCCGGAAGAGATGGCGAGCTTCCATCTGTCCTTGTGTAGAAACCTGCCTAAAGGTGCTGCGGAGGGCTTCATGCTTTTCGTTTGACTTTCCGAGGACAGAAGCGTTAGACTGAGAAGTTGGAAGCTGTGAGTTAGCAAAAGGGCTTGTTTCTTCCAAAGAGTACTCACGGTTAGAGGGGGGCAGCCAGAACACCTGTGCWGGTCGCGCCTTCGTCCCTCGCGCACGCGTCCAGGCCTCGCTTCCCCAGATCCTAAAAACAATCGATGAGATGGTCCATTTCCTAGACCTTTCACTAGAAAAGCTTGGTTCTCCTCCTTGAGTGGGGCTCAAGTTGGAGGTTGCTGGCCATTAACGGTGACAGGTTTCTGAGTTCTGCCCTGGGAAGTGTAGCCCTTGCCTACRGCAGGCAAGGCGAAAAATCAGCTCCGGGTCTGAGTAGCAAAGCCGGCCCTCTTCGCTAGTCTTTGGTTATAAGAGATGGAAGTTTGTCAGCAGGTGTATTCTTAACAGATGCTTTCCTGTTTAAATATTGCAGGACAAAGCAGTTCCAATCCCGGAAAAAATGAGTGAATGGGCACCTCGACCTCCCCCAGAATTTGTCCGAGATGTAATGGGTAATGTCCTTTATCTGTGTGTGTATAAATAAATTTAAAGGTAGATATATATATATATATATACACACACACACACACACACACACACACACACACACACAACACACACGTGTATCTCCTGAAGTATTTGTTAAGTAGATCTTTGGTAAGAAAAAAAAAATGTTCAGTGGTCCAGAATTTTGTTCTTACAATGATGGGGTACAGTTGCTTATGGTTTGGCACTAGACAACTTTCTTCTGTGTTCTTTATTATTTTGTTGGATTGTCAACTAACATACTAATTGTAAATAGAAACAAGTAATACTTAGAGATATAAAGAATTTATACATATTTAATACATAGATTATGTAATACATACATTTAATACATAAAAATATAAGGAACTTAGAATCACCTGTAATTCCATAATTCTGCTTGAAGTGTTTTGATAAAGCCTTCCAACCTCTTTATAGTCAACATCACTGATATAAGAAAAAAATGCTTTTATAAGAATACAGGTGTTCTGCACATATTATTTTTGTAATCTCCATATCATGGACACCTTTCCAACTTGCTAGAAATCTAGCAGCCAAATGTGAAATAATGGAGGACATGGGGTCATCATTCTCTTCTAGATTTTGGTCTTTAAATCACAGTCTTTCCTCCTCTTGATAATACATTAGAATGGAATKTTTAGTGATTTCATAGTCAACATTCACACAACAATTTAATGGTCCCTGTGACATGCCAAACCCTGCATTTGCTCTGGGGTATAAGTGGAAAAAGGCAGGCATGGTACCTTCCATTACTTCTAGTTTTTACTTCAGTCCCTTTTAGTTAAGGGTGAYCTGTGATGGTAACTGGATTTCATCTGGAACTCTGGGTCATTCTGGCTCTAGGTTCAAGTGCTGGGGCTGGCAGTGGAGAGTTCCACGTGTACAGGCATCTGCGCCGCAGAGAGTACCAGCGACAGGATTACATGGATGCCATGGCCGAGAAGGTGAGTGAGCCAGGAGCTGGAGCCCCCTAGTATGGGGTTATGTACTTTTACAGCCTTTAGGGGAAAAAGTTCAAAGAAGTGTACTCATGCAGCTGGTGGTACTTTRCATAGGGTCTGCCTTACACAGCATGGAAAGCAGAGTCCAGGCACTCCTAGGTCAAACTCAGTGCAGCAAGATGGCCACCCTAAGAGAGGAGKGAGGCACAGAGTCTTCCATTTGTATAGAAGAACACTGGAGAGTGGCCTCTCCCCTCCAGGCCATCTGACATGAAAAGGAATGGCAAGCAGGATCTTCCACGCTACTAGAGTGGTCAATTCTCTCTTGTTCTTTCTTAGCTGATGCCTGTGTGCAGTTAGCTGTTTTGTGTGAATGGTGATGTGCTTTCTATTTGTCATCTTCATTGAAGTTTTGGGTTTTCTAGCTTTAAGGCTGGCGTTTCTTCATGACAGAGGTCAAATGATTTTTTTTTCTTTTAGACTTGAGAATTTTTTAAGAAATTATAATTTAAAAACCAGGTGTGGTGGTGCACACCTATAATCCCACTACTTGTTGGTCTGGAGTAAAAGGATCCCTGAACCCAGATGTTTCAGGCCAACCTAGGCAACTTAGTCATAATTTCAGGGATGTGGGGGAGAACCTTTAAACTAGAGCTGAAGATGTAACTCAGTGGTAGAGTGCTTGCCCGACATGCACAAGGCTCTGAGTTCCATCCCTAGCACTATAAAAAAAAGTGCAAGATGGGCTGGGGTTGTAGCTTAGAGGTAGAGTGCTCACCTAGCATGYGTGAGCCACTGGGTTCGATCCTCAGCACCATAAAAATAAAATAAAGATATTGTGTCCACCTACAACTAAAAAATATTTTTTTAAAAAAGTACAAGGGTGCTTTTCTCCCCCCCCAATCTCCAAAGAACCCAGAGAATTGCACATGTGRGACAAGTGCTCTACTACATCTCCAGTCCCCACTCGACATTTGTAATTTCTCAAAAGTAAGGAAGCCATTCTTTTAGTCAAGAAAAGATAGGCAGCACATTTTTTGTGTGTGCAATTGCTAGGAACAGAGAGGAGCCACAGCAGAAAAGGAAGTAGTGAACCACATTCTTTGAAAAATTGAGACAAACTGGACCCACATTGTATCTTTTTTAAAATGACATGAAAATTGTCTAAATGCACAAATGTTCATAATGCTAGCACATACACTTACCAAAGGGTGTTGATTAAAACAACAGCAGCAGCAAACAACTCCTTAGGGCCTGCTGTGTTCTGGTGGTGATGTTCTCAATGCTAGTGGGAAGTTTTGGCTGTCTTGTCACACCTGTCCCAGCTCACTGCAGTAGGTTTGCCATTGTCAGAAATAATGCTCTGGGGGCTGGGATTGTGGCTCAAGTTGTAGAGCACTTGCCTAGCATGCCTGAGGTCCTGGGTTCGATTCTCTTTTATTTTAAAAATAAAATAAAAATATTGAGTCCACCTAAAACTAAAAATTAATATTAAAAAAAGGAATTATGGGAGGCATTTTTATTTTTAAATTATTCTAGGAGGGAGGAAGTAGAACAGGTTGTTGTCCCAGGCACCAAAAATTAGTCTGAAGTTTTTATATAAAGATCCAGAGAAAATACAGGAAAATGTTGTACAAACTTGACATCCATACAGATGCAGAGGTTTTTATTTCAGGCATCAAAATATAAGTTTTAAAGTTTAAAAACATAAAAGAGGCAGGAGAATATGCAACCTTTTTCAGTGACAGATAGGACAACACCCCAACAGAGCTGGTCTCAGGTGTGTCAGCCACCAGCGCTCCGTGAATTTCACTCACTAGTAAATTCAAGGGCTTTTGGATTTCACTCTTTCTCTTTCCAGTTGTCCTCTCCTTGAGGCTCATTTCCTTCTTGAAGGGGCATCTTCCGCTCTCAGCTTCTGTTGCTTGGTTTCAGTGACCTCCTGTGCAGATCCACAGCAGATAGCAGCAGCAACAAAGGCACCTCTTCCTCCTGTGCTGGCACCTCCTTTGCCTCCTCAACCTTTAGGGAATGACTAGAAGAAATGAAAGACGGCACTTTGTATTCTTCGCAGGTGCTTTTCTGTGACCGATTTCGTTATTCTTCCAAACAGAGCTGGCAGAAAGGACTTAATAGTCTCTCCTTTTATAGATGAACAAATTGAAACTTGGAAAGAAAACTGGGAAGAAGAATTCAATAGTGGATGTGTATACTGTGTGTGTGTGTGTGTGTGTGTGTGTGTGTGAGAGAGAGAGAGAGAGAGAGAGAGAGAGAGAGAGATACTGCTAGGATGAGTCATTTAGTAACTGTTGCTAAGGTTAGGACTTGAAAATTCCTTCTAGCCATTGTTGTGCTGCACTCTGGTCAGTGGGCAAGGTGCTGGCCGAGAGGCAGTCCTTACTGCCGCTGTCCTCAAGGAGTCCTCCACACGCCTTCTCCAGTTTTCTCTTTCGTATTTTGTTGTGCATKAGTCTGCCCAGTCCAGAGTATATCTAAATAATGTGGGGTTTTTGTAGCAAAAATTGGATGCAGAGTTTCAGAAGAGATTGGAAAAGAATAAAATTGCTGCAGAGGAGCAGACTGCAAAGCGTCGSAAAAAGCGGTAAGCACATCATGTCATCATGTCATCTGAGGGCGGGGCGGGGCGTGTCAGAAAGTGGCTGGCTGATGAACGGGCAAGTCTTGTACTCAAAGGTTCACCTGTGTGGCCAGCCATGGTAGTGTGCGCCTATAGTGCCAGCTGCTGGGCAGCTAGCGCCCACTGTTGATTGTAGCCTTTCTCTGCRTGTTGATTCCCAGGGCTGGGCTGCCCAGAGGCAGTAAAGTGTAGTGTGTGCTTCTGGCTCACAGGCCACTAAAGAAATGGAGGAGGATCACTTGAGCCCAGTACTTGAAGGCCAGCCTGGGCAGCATAGCCAGATCCCTCAAAGAAATTTAAAAATTTATTCTCTGTGACCTACAGAGTGGTGGGTGTGAATGCCCTAAGGCAGAGCCTCCAGGTAGAGGATTGCCTTCTTTTTCTACCTACCCCCCTGCTTAGTACAGGTTCCCCAAATATTAGAGATCCGGACTTTTGTGAGCATACAGATTACTTTGTCTCCTTCAATTCTGCCCTTTAACACTGAATTTATGAAAATGCTGTAACCAAACTTCCCTTTCAGCTTGTTCCTTAAATGAAAGTCTGACCTCTTCAAATGACTACATGGTGGTACAAGCTGTGTGTGTGCTTGCAGGGTTCTAAATAAACGGTCCTTCAATTTGTAGGAAGCTGAGCAGGATTTTAAAAACACTCCATACAACTTCACATGAAAATGTATCTCCAGTATTTCTTTTTTTCTTTTCTTTTTCTTTTTTTTTTTTTTTAATATTGTTTAGTTGTCAACAGACCTTTATTTTTTTAAATTTATAAATGGTGCTGAAAATCAAATCCAGTGCCTCACACATGCTAGGTAAGCRCTCTACCACTGAGCCACAAACCCAGATCCTATCTCCAGTATTTCTGAGATTGCTTTAGTCACCTCAGGACTCCTTAGGATTTGATCCTGACTCATGATGAAAATAGTTTAATGTTGGAATGGCAGAACCATAAGAGATTATTCCTTTTTTTTTTAAGACCTTTATTTTATTTATTTTTATGTGGTGCMGAGGATCAAACCCAGTGCTTCACACATGCTAGGCGAGTGTTCTACCACTGAGCCACAAGCCTAACCCCTATTCCTTTTCTTTCTTTCTTTATTTGTTAGTACCTGGAATTCAACCCAGGGTCACTTAACCACTGAGCCTCATCCCCAGCCCTTTTTATTTTTTATTTTGAGAAGGGTCTCACTAAGTTGCTTAGGGCCTCACTAACTTGCTGAGATTAGCCTCAAACTTGTGATTCTCAGCTTCCTGGGTCACTGGGATTATTGGCCTGTGCCATTGCGCCTAGCTGAGTTTTTCCTTTATTTTGTTATTAAAGTATTTGTGTTATAGTTTTTGTTTTGTTTTGTGTTTGAGATGGAGTCTGACTGGGACTACAGGATCATGCCACTGTGCCCAAATGTTAACTTTTTTGTTTTTCTCATTTTTAAATTTTTTTGGTACTGGGACTTGAATTCACTTAACCACTGAACCACATCCCCAGCCCTTTTTATGTTTTATTTTGAGACAGGGTCTTGCTGAATTGGTTGCCTTACGAAGTTGCTGAGACTTGCCTTGAACTCTGATCCTTCTGCCTCAGCCTCCCAAGTCTTTGTAATTTCAAGCATGTGACACTGCACCCAGCTTCCACTATAAGGTTTTTAAAGAGCTATAAAAGGAGGCTGGGGCTKGGGCTCAGTGCAAGAGCACTTGCCTGGCATGTGTGAGGCACTCAGTTTGATTCTCAGCACCACGTATAAATAAAGGAATAAAATAAAGGTTCATCAATATTTTTAAAAATGGGGGGCTATGAATAAGTGTTTATTTTGTAAATTATACAGCAAGATAGTTAAGGCATCAGCATGTGTGTTTTTTGTTTGTAGCCAGAAGTTAAAAGAGAAGAAACTGTTGGCAAAGAAGATGAAACTTGAGCAAAAGAAACAAAAAGAAGGTGAGTGGTGTCCACTTCTCCTTGGTTGTAGCCTTTCTCTTGGTGTTGATCCCAGRCCTGAGCTGCCCAGAAGCAGAAAAGCATAGGGTGTGGGGCTGGTTGGCTGGCCACTGAGGAAGTGGCAGCTTATTTGTGTTAGGATTCATTTAATTATAAGTATCAGAAAACAAACTGGCTTAAGCAGAAAAGAAAGACCCTGGCTCTTGTTCAGTCCAGGGCAGACCTCCCTTCAGGTAGGACTGGGGCAAGAGCTCAGTGGCATTACTGTTGTTTCCTCTTGGTCCTGACCTCCTGGCCTCCTACAAGCTGTGCCTTGTGATTGTGAAGTGCCTGCAACTGCTCTCTAGGGTACATCCTGCCTCTTTATTGTCCAAGAAGAAAGGTTGAGGGACCATCCCAGTGTTCCTAGCAGAAATCTTGTGTTTCTTTGTCTCCAATTAAGTCATACTTCTAGTCAGTTAAGAATGCTTAACAATGCTTTAACAAAGAGTAGTTTGTTTCTCTTACATGATAAGAAATCTGGTGGTAGATGTTGGTCTGGTGGGTTCAACACTCTTGCAATTCTCTTGTCCTTTGTCCTCAGTGTGTGAGATGGGTGCATGGCTCCTGCCCATTATACCTATGTTCAAGGCAGAAGGATAGAGAGATGGTACTTGTCTGTCTTTTTTTTTTTTTTTTTTTTTTTTAAACTAGAAAGCAAAAAGTCCCCCAGAAGGGCCTAGAGAAGTAGCTCAGTGGTAGAGTGCTTTTTCTGGCATGTACAGAAACTCTGCATTCAATCTGGTACTACAAAAAAAAAAAAAAAAGTCCTCAGAAGTGTCCTGCAGAAGTCACCTTATTTGCATTTCTCTGACTGCTAGAGATGGTGAGCATTTTTTCATGTACTTGTTGATTGATTGTATRTCCTCCTCTGAGAAGTGTCTGTTCAGGTCCTTGGCCCATTTGTTGATTGGGTTATTTGTTTTCTTATTGTTTAATTTTTTGAGTTCTTTGTATACGCTGGATATTAGGGCTCTATCTGAAGTGTGAGGAGTAAAGATTTGTTCCCAGGATGTAGGCTCCCCATTTACCTCTCTTATTGTTTCTCTTGCTGAGAAAAAACTTTTTAGTTTAAGTAAGTCCCATTTGTTGATTCTTGTTGTTAACTCTTGTGCTATGGGTGTCCTATTAAGGAATTTGGGGCCCAACCCCACAATATGTAGATCGGAGCCAACTTTTTCTTCTATCAGACGTAGAGTCTCTGATTTGATATCAAGCTCCTTGATCCATTTTGAGTTAACTTTTGTGCTTGGCGAGAGAAAGGGATTCAGTTTCATTTTGTTGCATATGGATTTCCAGTTTTCCCAACACCATTTGTTGAAGATGCTATCCTTCCTCCATTGCATGCTTTTAGCCTCTTTATCAAATATAAGATAGTTGTAACTTTGTGGATTAGATACCAACTCACTCCAGTAAGATTGGCAGCCACTATGAAGTCAAACAACAACAAGTGCTGGCGAGGATGTGGAGAAAAGGGTACTCTTGTACATTGCTGGTGGGACTGCAAATTGGTTCGGCCAATTTAGAAAGCAGTTTGGAGATTCCTGGGAAATCTGGGAATGGAACCACCATTTGACCCTGCTATTGCCCTTCTCGGACTATTCCCTGAAGACCTTAAAAGAGCATGCTACAGGGATGCTGCCACATCGATGTTCATAGCAGCACAATTCACAATAGCTAGACTGTGGAACCAACCCAGATGCCCTTCAATAGATGAATGGATAAAAAAAAATGTGGCATCTATACACAATGGAGTACTATGCAGCAATAAAAAATGACAAAATCATAGAATTTGCAGGGAAATGGATGGCACTAGAGCAGATTATGCTTAGTGAAGCTAGTCAATCCCTAAAAAACAAATACCAAATGTCTTCTTTGATATAATGAGAGCAACTATGAACAGAGCAGGGAGGAAGAGCAGGTAGAAAAGAATAACATTAAACAGAGACATGAGATGGGAGGGAAAGGGAGAGAAAAGGGAAATTGCATGGAAATGAAGGGAGACCCTCATTGCTATACAAAATTACATATAAGAGGTTGTGAGGGGAATGGGAAAATAAACAAGGAGAGAAATGAATTACAGTAGATGGGGTAGAGAGAGAAGATGGGAGGGGAGGGGAGGGGGGATAGTAGGGGATAGGAAAGGTAGCAGAATACAACAGTTACTAATAGGGCATTATGTAAAATTGTGGATGTGTAACCGACGTGATTCTGCAATCTGCATTTGGTGGTAAAATTGGGAGTTCAAAACCCACTTCAATCTAATGTATGAAATATGATATGTCAAGAGCTTTGTAATGTTGTGAACAACCAATAAAAAAAATTATTAAAAAAAAAAGACAATGTTCTCAATAAAAAGAAAAAAAAAGAAGTCACCTTATTTATTTATTAGGTCACTTTGCCATCCCTAGCTGCCCTCATGTAAGGTGAATAGAAAATAGAATTGTCATAAATCCTTTAAACTATTCATGATCATCACTGGGAGCTGGTTACTTTGCCCCCCCCCCCCCAGATGCTCTCTTAATAAGGAGGAGTGGGGTGGGTGCTGGGGCAGCGTCCACCGTGCTCCAGTCCTGCTTGCTTCTGAACCYATCACAAAGGCCTGGGAGCCATAGGCTAAGAGTGAAGGAGAGATGGACCTCAGGTAGAAAGGGCCAGGGATGCTAAGGGACAAAAATGACCCCAGTTTGCCGTGTTTCTACATTGRTGTCTGTGCTGTGAGTGACTGGGTTCCTGCATAAACCACTGAGGGTGTTAGCTTGGGGGGTACAGTTGGGCTTCCTTTACAGGTGAAATACGATTGACCCCTTTTAGGACTGGCTTCCTCATGAGTTGTACTCATGAGTGACACGTGATGATGTTTTTAAACTGTGTGACTGCTCTGCCCTCCTACAATTCCTCAAATTAACCAGCAGGTATTTTCTTAGCCCTCCAAGGAGAAGGAGTGGGCGTAACAGCGGGTCTTAGTGTTCTGTTGGTGGGTTGTAGCTTGACCCTGTGTTAGGAAATAGCTCTCCTTCATGCAGGATAATTTTGCCCCACCCTCTGGGATGTGCTGTTTTTGCTGCTTATTGTCATTCTTGAGTTTCATATTTAGTGACTTCCTGAACTAATTCTGTAAARCCTGTGTTCTTTGTTGTGTGTGATCACTGAATTGTCTGCTTGGTTAACTCAGTGGTCAGCCGGAGAGTAAATATTTCTTTAAATGCCTTGAACCAGTATGTCTCCCAGCCTTTGCTGAGGGTTGTGTGTGTTGGAGCATGGCTTCGGCGCCCTGGCAGGGCTTTGCAGATTACCTTTGCCTCCATTTCCTGCTTGCACATAGCCCCAAGAACAGCAGAGTGAGAAATTAGGGCCTTTGTATGTCTTTCTTGGGCCTGTGCACAGCCTTGTGCATGTGTGTGGCCCTCGAGTGTCCCAGCTTCTCCTCTTAAGCTTTTTGGTCATTTCGTCTTTGCTTCAGCTGTTATCTCTGCCTCAGGGAGTCGCAGTGATAAGTGGCTGCCACTGATTGCTTCTGACAAACACCCAGAGGAAGAAGCTCTTCACACTGAGTGAACTCTCGAGTCAGGACAGCTCAAAACAAGCCTTGCRAGAAGTTTTATGGGAGCTGCTAGACAGGTCAAATAGGGACAGTGCTCAGGTTGGAACTTTGAGACATGCTCAACCTAGTTGGTTTATTTGTTGATTAATTGATAAATACTGGGAATTGAACCCAGGGCTACTCTTCCACTGGGCCATATCCTYGGCCCTTTTTACTTTTATTTTTACTTTGAGACAGGGTCTGAGTTTCCCAGGCTAGCCCCAAACATAATCCTCCTGCCTCAGCCTCCTGAGTATCTTGGGTTACAGGTGTGCACTACCCACCAAGCAAAAGGTTGATTTTTAAAAAATAATCTTTGCCAGTATTCTTGTTGCTTTTCTGGAAGAGCTGATTTTGGGAGGTGATTAGTGTGCCATTCTAGAAGTGCTCTCATCTTCTTGAATCTTAACCCACCTATGCCATTACTTTTCTTTTTTTTTTTTTTTAAAGAGAGAGTGAGAGAGAGAGAGGGGGACAGAGAGAGAATTTTAATATTTATTTATTTTTTCTTAGTTCTTGGCGGACACAACATCTTCGTTTGTATGTGGTGCTGAGGATCGAACCCGGGCCGCACACATGCCAGGCGAGCGCGCTACCGCTTGAGCCACATCCCCAGCCCCCTATGCTATTACTTTTCAAGTGTCATTCTGTGTGCATGGTGGGGGGGGGGTGTTAAGGATGGAAAGGCTGGAAGTCAGGCCTTGCTGGGCAAGTACTCTGTGTCTCAGCAGCACCCCCGGCCCTGTTGTGTTTTTAATTCTATCCCTTTTTATAGCTGTTATGACTCTAGGGGATGTTAAGCACATACTACTGTCACGTTCTGCTTAGATCTGCTTAGAGCTTTCCATCACTTATGTTCTTTTACCCTTAGTTACATCTGCAGACATTGAAAATGTGATCAGATGATGTTACTTTTTTCAATATTTTTATTAGTTGTTGATGGACCTTTATTTATTTATTTACTTGTGGTGCTGAGAACTGAATCCAGTGCCTCACACAAGCTAGGCAAGCACTCTACCGCTGAGCTCCAGCCCCAGCCCAGATGATGTTTTACTTTCAAACATATTTTAAAGACTTCAAAAGGTACTAACCAATGCATACTGTGTGCTCTTCTTCCCTGGTCCCTGATGCTCCAGGTRTCCCTCTGGTCTGTTTCCTGTGAAGGTCTTCCTTCAGTTGTTCATTATAGCAGGTCGATGGCTGTGTTTCCGTGGCCTTTCTTCCTGTGTTTTAAGCAGATGCGTTAGAGAATCTGATAATTCTATCTGGCGTTTGTTAGTTGCCTTTTCCCTACAAATTGAGACTCTGCTGATTCTTCATAAGCTGAGTATTTTTCTCTGKGTCTTGGATGTTTTGAATAGTGTGCAATAAGGCTTCT